AAAAAAAAAAATTGAAAACAGTAATCATAGTACAGTAGTAATAATGGTATTAAGACCTATGTTATGTTGTGCTAATATTTTTAATAATATATCTTATTATATAGCAAACAGATACATAGGGATAGCGTGTGGTAAAAAGATTTCATGTATCTGTCCTTATGGCAGATACTGTCCTCGTGCACATTCCTAATAATGCAGATTTTGAGTTAAGAGTGTTTGTTTGTTTGTTTGTTTTTTACTTGACCATGGTTTCCAGACATACCTGCAGAGCTTTGTGTGTTTGCAATTTTAACATCTGCCAAGCAGGTTATGTTTTTGGTAACTTTTGCTTGCCTGTTTGTGATTGGTCAAAAATGAACAAAAATCTGTGTGGAGTCTGTGGTAAATATATTATAGTACTGTGTAAAGATTTCAAATATCGCGTTACATCTGATCTCAGTACAACTGCTTTTGTACAAACAAAAGCAGTTGTACTGCCTTTGTTTGAGATGGGGAGTCTAAATGTTACATTATAGTTTGCATCCACATATTGAACCTCTGATGAGGTTTCAAAACGTGTTACATCGTTAATGAAAGAATTAGTTAGTTATAAATTCACTGTACTATATTTATACAATAAGCTATTCATGTCCAGTTATTTACAAATCAATACATATTATCCAGTACTTACTCCAACATAGTGTTTGCATAAAGGCTTACAAAAAACAAATAAAACAAAATGAATGTATACAAAATACAATAGTGTTACCTTAATAGTACACAGAGTGAGCTGCTTTGGTGGAGGTTTAGAGCTCTTCTATTAAAAATGGATGCTTCACTTAATGATGTGAACTTAGTTGACTTAGTTGTTTTTTTCTTGCATGAACAGGTAGAAGTGTCATTCAGTCTGACATAAATGTAGCCTAAAATGCTTTTCTCTCATCATCTGCTCAAACTAACAGATGTAGGTCTGTTGCTTTAGCACTTGGTGTTTATTACATTCCTAATGTTATTTTAAACTTGTTTCCTCACAGGTCGTCTTGACTACGTGGTTGAGCGTCCTGCAGAAGAAGGCCTTCCTGAAGTCATCAGGATCCTGGATGACACTGACACTGTCGGTGAAGGTGAGTATGGTGAGTATCTCCCTCTCTCACCCTCCCCCTCTTCTCATGAAGCACAGCATCCTGATGACAGTGAAGAGGAAGGTGAGTACCCTCCCAACGTACCTGAGGACGTTGAAGAGGTGAGTGAAGACACTGACAATTCATCTGACTGGAACGACTCAGAAGAGTGGGGCGATTGGCTTAGCGATGACTCGGGGTATGACACCATGGATGAGAGAGATGATTCCCCTCTCATCCGGGAGCTTTCTCCAGAGCCGTTTTGGCACGATTGGCAACGTCCTATTTCTCCAGGTGGTGCCCCATTCGCCATGCCGCCTTTCGGCCACGCCAACGACCCACTCTTCCCTCGAGTCGTTGCCCCAGTCGGTGATCCGTCAGCTGCTCCTCCTTCAGCTGCTCCTTCTTCACCTGCTCTCTTATCTACTCCCTCAGCTGCTTCCTCTCCTGCTCCGTCACCTCCGCCCTCACCTGCTCCTTCTTCTTCACCTGCTCTCTTATCTTTTCCCTCAGCTGCTTCCTCTGCTGATCCTACAGCTTCTCCTTCTCCTTCAACCTCAGCTCTTACCTCCTCAGCAAAGAGAAGGAGAGAAGACATCTGCACTGAAGAGGTAAGTGCAAAGGTAAGCAAGGTAAGTGATGACACGTTCTATGGCCCTTCAACATCATCGGGCTCTTTTGGTGTCAGACGCTTCTGGGAAAGGCCTTTTAACCTTTCACTTGATGACAGCGACTCTGACTAGATTATGTTAGAACTTGTTTTTAAA